CTCAAATCTGGAATGGTTTATGATCTTACTTTCACCCCATAACTGTTCTTCTATTTTGAACGTAACCTATAGAATGAAAAAAATCTCAATACTTTTTGTGAATCATTTAATTTTGAGTGAAAAAAATCTCAATACTTTTTGTGAATCATTTAATTTTGAGCTTTATCAATCAGCAATGTTCATATACATAAGGTAATTAATTCTGTGTAATTCGAGATGAAGTACTTCAAATCTCTTTATTTTAGAAGGATGCACTGCTAAGGATGCTAGTGGCCGGCAAATTTTTGTTCACATTGGCTCCGTCATAAGGGTAAATCAAAATAATCTGGAAGCAAACACATAAACCTTGTTTAATTATAACTATTCAAGAGATACGTGGACTGGTCAGGGCGCTGCTCATCATGGTGTGAATGTTTGGCCGAAGATAAACTGACCTGTGAGCGATTGCCATGTTTGGAAGATGGACGGTGTGAGGCGCCTTTGACAGCAGTCGGTAGGGTTTTTGTTAAAAAAGCTAAGCTGTGAATAAATTTCTTGTGATAATTCTCTTCAGATTTCGGGGAGAGGTTGTTTCTTCGTGATCGTGGAGCATGTTTTTGTGAATCGGGCAATTTTATATGTGATTTACCGGAGGAAATGCCTGAAGTGTACCCTGGTATGGTTTACGATTTGAATTTAACTTTAGATGTGAAAATACCCAACTTTTAGGGCTATACCTCTCTGCCGGCTACTCAACCACTGATGTTGAAATGCTACGTAGCGAAACACCCCGGGACGTCCTAGAACGTGCCGGATTTCTCTCAGCGAACGCGGCGACGGACATCGCCAGCAGACTTCAAATTGCATTTGAAAGAATTCTACCAAAGGTAAGACCTTTTTGGGCAACTGTAGTAGTCTATGAATAATTCTTACATGATCTTTGTAGGGCTTACAATGCCGAATTGTATTGATGCCAGAAATGAGCGAACCTGGATCAGCCTTTATGAGGGTAGAATGGTTTGGTAAAAATGAGGCCCTTAATCACACGAAGTTACAATGGCATACCGGTTGGGCTGAAAAGGTATGGTATGCATGAACGGCTTTTCAACGAAATATTAGCATTTTTTGCGATAAATGAAAATGTCTCGTAAATTAAAATACATAAAAATGAACTTTTTGCATTGGTGAATCACAAAGGTCTACGAAAAGACGTTAGCCTCAAGGAGGGGCCCACAG